ACATTTCACCCTCACAACCACGCAGTAAAATCCATCATTCTAAAAAACTTTAAATTACTTCAAAATGATCATGATGCTGGTAGAATCTTTTCGCAACCTCCATTAATTTCATTCAAACGCGACAAAAACATATATTTAGTCAGAGGCGCATTCCGAACAAGTGGTCAACCCGGAACTTTGAAATGCGCACGCGAACGATGCAAACCATGTCCTTTCATTCGCAAAGTTGAGAAAATATCGGGACCAAAGCGACCCATCAAGATCACTGATCATTTCACCTGTACCTCAGCCAATGTCATCTACGGCATTACTTGCACTCTTTGCAAAACGTTATACATCGGCAAAACAGGGAGACGACTAGGCGACCGATTCCGAGAACACCTTAGTGACGTAGAGAAAGACGACAAAAACACATTTAAACAGGTCGCGAGACACTTTAATCTCCCCAATCATTCTACGCAACATATGGCAGTCTGCGGCCTTTCCCTACATCAAGGATGCACGGAAAGCCGCTAAACTCTAGAACAACAATTTATTTTTCAAATCGGCACTCTTAATCCTCACGGTATCAACGAACGCTTTTCATTCAATGCGCTCACTGTCAATATTGACAATCATCGTGCAGTCTTGGTAAAGTTTGCATACGAACCAAGTGGCCCATCAGACCGGAGCTTATCCCAGTTTCAGTAGTATGAAGCGACTAGGAGTATTTCAACCCCCTCCCCTCCCTGGATGTGATGTTAGTCCGTTGCAGGGTTACCCCCAGCATTAAATTCGCAGTACCCATTTATACACCTGAGTGGAGAGAGGCACTGTAAGAGTAAAGTGAGGTCGATATAATAACGAGTCCGTATTTTTTTTTTTTCACTTATGTTTCCTAAAGTATTCCTTTCCATCTAAGAAAAGCGATCTCAAATATAGACATGAACCAACAAGGATCTAGTGTAAATTGACTCTTCTTTCCGTTGGGAAGTTTACTTATTCACCCTTAAGCCTGGTGGCATGCACGCGCCAAGGACGCGGAGTTTAATGACTACTTTTTCATAACGCTATCAGTCAGCGAGTTCACCAAAATATACTGAGGTCTTAAGTCAAAGCTCATGTGTTGTGTGTTTGTACAATCCACTGATGCAAGTAGGTAGAAACTAATTTATTTATTTCTTGGTTAATAGAAAATTTCAAGTCATTCAGCAAGGAATGGGACAAAGCTTGTAGAAAGAAATTTATATCAAACCAGAATAGTATTTTGTATCTATATCATAGTCTCTTGTTTGTATTCTCAACAGTTATTACCCATACCCAAGTTACATTTGTGGTTGCTTCTTTCAGAGGTTCGTTATTCCGAGAGTCACTACGTGTGGGATTTGCTAGCAATTGTCAAATTTTATTGCTAATTCCAGAGCATCGGTATTTGTAATTTGTAGAACTGTAGAACCATAAACTTAAGCACAAGAGGCTTATCATGCGATAGCGACATAAGCATAAGCGTTAAACTTGTGCTTATCTTTAAATCTTTAAGCTTAAGTTGCTGTTATGTCCAGTGGGGACCTAAGCATAAATTGCTCGTTGATTGGCTGAAAGTCTTTCGCTTATGCTTATGCCAACCATGTCCCCACTGGACCTAGCAGCGACATAAGCAGTAGCATAAGCAAGAGAAAATGAACTTATCCTTAAAATTATGCTTATATCCCGCCGTCCCCACTACACTCTTTTTTTTTAAGAATATTGTTTTGCCTTCTTTTTTTTTAAAGAATATTGTTTTTTCTGGTTCATGGCGAATATTCTCATCTTTCAACCGCTTTCAGACTGAAAATATTATCGTGAACAATTTTAGATCATAGCTTATGACATTTCCGTTGTCTGGATGGTGTTGAAGTAATTTTGGAGCCAGCCTGCAAACATTGATT